TGAAATGAAGGATCATGGGACACAGTAAGTAGGGTTATAGTTAAGGTAGCTGCACTTATATTTACTTATAACCCCAATTAAGGGACTTATAACCTTACTTACTAAGTCCCATGATCCTCCAAGTGGACCCTTAGGGTTTGCTACATGCCCTCTCTCTCTGGCGGCCCAGCTTCTCGCACTTCTGGGGAGTGGACCTGCAAGGTTAGGGGTTAGGGTTTAGGGTTTAGGGTTTAGGGTTTAGGGTTTAGGGTTTAGGGTTTAGGGTTCCGGTTGAGGTTGGAGGATAGCACGGTTCAGGGCTTGGGGTCTAGGGATTACGGTTTTTCTTTTTTTTCGGGTTTAGGGTTTGGGGTTTAGGACTTAAGGAATTAGGCTTGGGGGATAGGGTTGTGCAAGGGTTTGAGGGTTGTCGGCTTGAGCTTGGGGATCCTTTACATGACAGAGAGTAGCCCGAGCTGCAAGGGGCCTGCTTCAGACCTGCCTACATGACGTCTTCATACAACTTGACAAGAGCTTATAACATACGGACCTTAACAGATCGAAAAGGATTATAAAAAGGTACCCTGGGGAATGCCATTGATAATTAACCAGGCTTTTACCCTGGGGAATGCCATTGATAATTAACCAGGCTTTTAGTATATTTGGGTGGTTGTCAAAATTATGGTCCCTTTTTGGGTCCTTATTATAATACGGCACCTAGTATTTAGGGTACCCCCAAAAGGACCATAATTTTGACAACTACCCATTTGGGTTGGTTTCGAGGATTTGGGGCGTGGGGTCTTTAGTACATTGCTTCGCGTTCAGGGTCGAGGCGTTTAGGGTTTAGGGGTCTAGGGTTTAGGGTTTAGGCGTGAGGTACGAATACACCTGCGAAAAAGCTTGTGCTTACCTTTCAACCCACCTGGCTGTTAGTTGGCTACTTTGTCTGTTCCTTCGACCGTATACAAACCCTTCGGTAACTCACTACAGACTGCTAGCGACAATTCCGCCATCTACTTTGATCACGAAGCGTCAAATGTCGGCTTTCCGAGCAGTTAAGCTGCAGTTTCCGAGCGTAGGACAACCATTATTTCTGGGGCCTACAGAGTTTAGGGTTTAGGGCTTTGGGTTTAGGGTTAGGGTTTAGGGTTTACCCACGTGGTGTTTTTGTCGGAGTCGCCACGGTGCCTCGTGAAGTGGAACCTGCTTTTTTGTGCGCAACTCATGATAAACCAAAACAATCTCAATACATCATGGCACTTGGATCCCTTTCACTACAGAGTAATGGTCTTGACCACAATGTCAAGTCCTAACCCTAAATCCGAAACCGTACACCGTAAACAACAAACCCTAAACCATGTATACACCCCAAACCCCAAACCTCAAAACTCTCAACCCTAAACCCTAAACCCCTAAACCCCCAAACCCTAAACCCCTAAACCCTAAACCCATACACCCCGAAACCCCTAAACCCTAAACTAAACCCCTAAACCCTTAAAACCCTAAACCCCTAAACCCCAAAACCTCGAAACCCCTAAACCCCTAAACCGCTCAACCCTAAACCCCCAAACCCTAAACCCCTAAACCGTAAAACCGTAAAGCCCAAAAGCCCCAAAACCCCAAACCTGTGGCGGCCTGTTGCTCGAACATGGCATACGTGATGACGCCATCCTGGTGGGTAGTTCTCTAAAATTAGGGCTATAAGGTGTTCTGGGCAGTTCTCTGCATTTAGGGTCCCTTCTAGGGTTCCTTGAAGGGATCTATATAAGGGTTTCTGTAGGGTTTGTATAGGGGTGCCACAATAAGGGCTCCGTTTGGGTAGTTCTCTAAATTAGGGTCCCTTTTTGGGTCCTCTTGTTAAGGGTGCCGTACCATATTTAGAGAACTACCCTGGTGCAAAAAATAGTCCCAAAGGGTCCTAGGTACCATTATGGGGGATACTTGGAGGATCACGGGACTTAGTAAGTAAGGTTATAAGTCCCTTGATTGGGGTTATAAGTAAATATAAGTATAGTTACCTCAATTATGACCCTACTTACTAAGTCCCATGATCCTTTAAGTAGGTACTATTATGGAGGATACCTTCCCCAAGCCATAAAAGTAATTCCTAATACAGAAACCCCACATTCTACTACACAGGTACTTTGGACCCTTTGGGATTGGAGCCTTCATAGTAAGGGGGGCTGCTCGAAGCCAGTCTTTGAAGGGCTCCTTCAAAGAGTTCATGCCCAAAGGGTCCATGTACCCAACTAGTAGACACGCTTTGGCCTCAAAGTGGTCTCTATATAGGACTTTGGGGCCAGAGTATATTTAATATACTATTCGGGCACATGGACCCTTAGGGATAGATAATACAGGGGGAGGTTTAAGGCTAGGCTCTACTGCTGCCATGTTGGTCTGACAGGCACCCAGCTTTCCTTGTCATGGAGGTTCGAAGGTGCCAAAACTCAAACACAAAACTCAAAACACCGAAGCCTGAAACCCTAAACCACCGGGAGGGGAGGGGAGGGGAGGGGAG